ATAAAGCAATCTCTATCTTCAATATAAAGTTTGTCTAGTTGCCACCAAAATGTACAGGAATGGGATGGACTATAAAGTGTGTCATGTTCTGGCAATGATCTGATATCAAAATATAAAGTGAAAATTTATTTAGTTAAATTATAAAATTCAAAATTCTATAGTAGTTCCTTTAATATAAGCACTATGCATTTCCCCCATCTTATACGAGTAAACAACAATTTTGAAAATTATGAATTTTGACGTATTCAAGTCTATTGACAGTTCACTTCCTCATCTCACCTAGAGCGTAGAATCTTTAGTCTTCCATCTCCGTTTTTATTCCTACAAACAAGAATCAGTAGATGATATAATATGTTGAAATAGCAAATAGCAATGTACCTTATAAAATAAATGCATAGAACAAAATAAAAACGACAGCCTAATCTCTCGATGATACATTCGTTTACTGTTTTTACAAGATAGGGAATAATGTTGTTGTAGTCATGTCCAATGATGAGCCTCAGATGCCTCCATGCATCTCTCTATCACACCAGTCGCAATGTCCACTATCTTGAATGTGTAAAGCTGCTGTTCTGGATCCATGTCAATTTCCTGTAAGGCTGCGGCCATTGCTGGACATGAGAATATGTGGCTAGGTGTTAGTTCCACACCAGGACATTTGTTACATGTCCTGTAGGTTCTTGTGCCATCTGGATGTATTGTCATTCCTTTATAGTATTTCGTTCTGAGTCTTGTTATAGTTTTTGTAATTCTTATCTCTGAGTTTATTTATAATACAAGGTATGTCCCATAAGTTCCCGGACTGGGTCCATAAAAAATAAATAAATAAAATATTTAATTAAATTTTACTCTGTTTATTATAGAAAGAATATCTGGCAACACGGTGGTACCAATACCGAGGCGGTACGTGCGCGCGCGCCAAGGTCATTCTAATTTATTTAAAGGTTACACCTAGCGCTGCGGCGATTTTACGATGGAACAAAAATTGTAGCAGAGGATTTGCATAGAATTTTGTGTGAAACTTCAAATATCAGCAACCGAAACTTTTTAAATGCTTAATAAAGCATTCCCCAATGACACCCCAAAGAGAACAACTGTTTTTGAATGGCATTCTAGATTTGAAGCTGGCAGAATATCTATTGAAGATGATCCTCGTCAAGGACGCCCAAAATTTCAAAGGACTGATTAAAATGTGCAAAAAATCACCGATTTGATAAAAGAAAATCCTCGAACCACTTTGCTGGAGCTAGAGAAAGACACAGGCATCTCTAAAACAACGATTGGAAGGTTCGTAACCGAAGATTTGAAGCTCAAAAAGACTCCTGCAAAATCCATCCCAAGATTTTTCACTAATGAGCAAAAACTGTGTCGGCTTGCAACCTCTGAGGACATGTTGGAAATGACAAGAACGGATCCGGAATGGAAAGACAAGCTAATCACAGGCGACGAGACATGGGTCTATGGCTATGACCCTGAAACCAAGCGTCAATCTGCCGAGTGGAGAAGTCTGGGTGAGCCTAGCCCCAAAAATCCAGGATATTGAAATCCAGAAACAAGGTGTTGCTGGTCGCTTTTTTAAATAACAAAGGCATTGTTCATCACGCGTATCTTCCTGCAGGACAAACATTTACTTTTTCCTGTTCCCTAAACTTAAAGCAGTTCTAAAAGGAAGATATTTTGACACCAGGGATGCCATAATAGAAAAATCGCTCTTGGCACTGAAGAGCATTCCAAAAGAGGCCTATAAAAACTGTTTCGACAATTGGGAGAAACGATGGCGCTGGTGCATTGAAGCAAGGGGGGATTACTTTGAAAATATTTAATATTTAAAAAATATATATATCTTACCTTTTTTTTATGGACCCAGTCCGGGAACTTATGCGACATACCTTGTATTTTATCTTTCCTTATCCTTTGTTGAATTATTTTGTATTTTGCAAAAACAGCATCTTATACTGACATTTGTTCTTTTCTTTAGATTAACTTTCTGGCTTCCTTTGCTAATTCAATAGGGAATAATCTAAATAGATTTTAGACTTGAGTTACAGACCTCACAAGTCTTGACAGCTTACACGTCTACCAGTAGTTTGTAAGTGCTATAGCAAGATGTTCTACACTGTAAAGACAAGGAGAGGTATACCTGAATCCACCTCTGCCTCGGCGCGTTGCCATGGTAACCACAGCGCCCTCTTTCTTCTCCAGAAGTTCTCGACAGGATGCAACTGGTAATCTGTCTGATCGATCATATTTCCACCGGCAGAAGATGGAACGGTCACTTCTATACATATCGACTCTAAATATATGGAGGGTTCTTGTATCTCTACTTTGATGGATATTTATCTATTTCTTCTCAACCATCCATAGCTTGGTAGCTGGCAGTACTCCCTACTTTAATATATTTTTTATATGGATAGTCTTTTGATGAAATGTAGTATCTTCTTCTGATATTATCCAAGAATTCCATTCGTGCCCTTCCTATTCCTGGTCTTTGTTCCATACATCCCTTTCAGCAATAAAAAAAAATATCCTTAAAAAGATGAATTTTTCTTTTTCAAATTAAATAAACTTTCTAATATCCTTGAAAAGATTAAAATAATTGAGAATGCTTAGTTCAAAATTGGTGAACCCTCCAAGTGGTTTCGCTAATATAATCCATCAGACCTTTGTTGTGTCATTTGTAAAAAGAAACATTTGTGCTTAATATATAGTTTTGTTTCTTATATATATTGGTGACATGTTATCGACTTTTAATTAATTTGTATAAAACTAGCTTAGTCTTTACCCTTTGTGTAAAATCATTGCTTGATTCCAAAATTTATATGTTTTTCTACTATTCTAAATGCTCATGTCCATAGCTTTTTCAAATATCATTTCTAGGATTCCATCCTTCAGGGTCGTATATATAAGTAGAATCGTCCAATTCAGTGTTAGAGCTCTAAAAGCAGTCTAGAGGATTAAATCGACAAAACCGCTGGAAAGGTCCATCCTCCCACTATTTTTAATTGCAGCAAAGTGAGTTGAAAGTTAGTTCCATTCGAAAATTAAAAATTCCAGCTAAATATTTTATATTTTATATGGAAATATAAAATTTATTTAGATGTTTAGTTCAGTTTGTTTCTAGCTGTATTTATCTCCAAGATATTGGCATTTCATTTTCCAATTAATTTCAATTGATTCAATGTCTTCATTACACAAAATTCAAATAACAAATAGCTGTTCTTATTTGCTTCAAGAGCAAGCAGAATGTCTATATTGACGTTCTTTCGTTATTCAACATTTGATTCTCATCTGGCCAATATGAGGCATTTTTAAAGATACAGTTAAACCTGTCTATAGCGCCTTCCTCTCTATAGCGCCCGATTTTAAATACGTAGTACGATGCAATTTACATTAAAGGTGACCTGTCTATAGCACCCTATTTTGGTGAGTCCCAAGAGGGGGCGCTATAGACAGATTTAACTGTATTACTCTTGAATATATATTCGGTGTGTTATAATTTGCTAGAAGTAGTACTTCTGGGTCCCCGTGTTGAAGGCATGTTGGCCCGAAATCATGAGAAATAAAATAATTGTAAAAAGAAACCAAACCCTAGATGCCTTATTGATTTAGTCAAAATGTAAAAGCAGGGAAGAATCTTTATTATTACTCTTGAATGTTAGAAACGTTTAAAACAATAACTTTTCCACCTTTTTGAAATTTTGTGAAGGTTTTTTTCAATCAGTTTCCCCTAATGATTAATATTAATAAAATTAGCCTATCTCCATAGTAGTACCGAATTTCATAGCAAAAATGGTTTATATAAATAAACACTTAGTTTCAAATATAACATAAAAATTATTCTTATATTATCATCCATAAAGAAAGGTGTATTTTTTTTTAAAGAGTTGCATAGAGCATTTTAAGTCTTCATTTTAAAAAATTGCATATCAGTATCACTTACCTTAAAGACAGATTCTATGCTCTTAAACAAAGAAATTGTTAATATATTTTAAAAGTTAATGAACCATATATATTATCTATAGGACAATTCTCAATAATACTAGTTAAATAAATATATCAAGAACACCCTATTGGTAAAAATAGTTAATTCATCAAATTATATCAGCATTTATTTTCACTTTAATATAATCAATTTTATATATATATCGAAAATTTGTAATTTTGGTATATACAAGGTTGTCCCAAAAGTTCGTGTATACTTGCAAAATATTGAAATACCAATTATTCGCCGTTATATATAACGTTTTTTTATTATGTAAAAAGTAATTGTATTATGTGTATTATTATGTATTCGCCGTAATAATATTATTCGCCAATTAATAAGAAAAACAACGTATTAAGAAAACAAGAACCTTTGGGACAACCTTATATATATATATAGATGGACATTTTTTTCCGGGAGGAAATTGACCTATAAAAGCAGAGGTCGCCTCTCCCGTTAAGATAAACGTCAAAACTGAACGTCATCTATTGACCGTTGTCGCAAACTAGCGGCCTCGGGTCGGTAAGTTTGACGTCAATAGATGGCGTCTAGTTTTGACATCTATTTTGACGGAAGAGGTGCCATATGCATTTATATATTCTAGACGACACCTCGAGAGGTTGAGATTTGTTTCTAGGTGTACCTCGAAATTGAGACTGTTCTTGTTCTGTTTCTTGAAGGACTTGAAGACATAGTGGGCATACTGGGACGCATCTGTAACAACACAAACATTAACTTTATATATAAACATTGGAATTGTCGGTGGTCATTCAGAAGTCGATTGGCAGAAATAGAGGATCTAGTTGAAAAGACCTTCGTACTGCCTACACTTATACTAACTTTGACAAAATCAATAAGGAATATAGTAAAACGATACTTGAAGTTTCACCGCATGAGTTACTTTAAAACGACAAATTAAAATTTTATTTTAAGGTGAAATATCGACTATTTCTAACCTTTTGGATGAAGTATGAAAGGATGAATTATGAAGAGTAATGACGAACGGAAAAATAAAAGTGGCCAGGGATGGGAAACGAACCCACAATGTTCCGCTTACCGGGCAGATGCCATGTCCACTAGGCTACCCTGGACGTATTCCTCATCCAAATCCAATTATACCTCATCCAAAAGGTTAGAAATAGTCGATATTTCACCTTAAAATAAAATTTTAATTTGTCGTTTAAAAGAAACTCATGCGGTGAAACTTCAAGTATCGTTTTACAATTACATGCCGCAGTGTATTATATTGTATTATAAGGAATATAGGGCTAGGTGTCTTTCTGCAATTCTTTCATTTCTCGAGCTTTCGGGCCAACATCCTCTTCAACACGAAGACCTAGAAGTAATACTTCCAGGTGTTGAAGAGCATGTTATCTCAAAAGCTCGAGAAATGAAAGAATTGCAGAAATAAACCAAACCCAACATTCCTTATTGATATTTTCATAGTGTGAAAGCAGGGAAAATATATACTATCTTAGCATTCAGTAACGTGACGATAAAGGTATGTTATGATGTATATGTATGTAATTTAAGCTACCGTTTTCTATTAGATTTTAATATCAATTTGTTGATATTGAATGTTTCACACCAGAAGGAACTTTTAGATTATAGTGAAACTTGGATCAAATGTACAAGGTGTTTCATTGACTATATGATACAAAAGATGAAAGTGTATCAGCACTACACGCTACAAGAAGTCAATTTAAACCAATTTCTCTGTTTTTTTATTCCACTCCTTATGTGTGTGTGTGTGTGTGTGAATGTAACACTTTCTTTTGCTGCAAGTGTTTATTTATTTAAAATTTTAATCTTAAAAAAAAGAAGATGCCTTCATTGTTAAATTTGGATGGAGACAAATTCATCAGAGAGTGCATCATTTTTAAACCCTATAAGATAATAAAATTATCAGCTTTATGGATAAAATTGAAGATAATGTCAGAGTAAGATTTAAACTGTTCAATATACTAAGTTTAATTTAGCATTAACAAGACCCTGTCAATGCCCGGGTTTTTCCCGAATATAAACTCTTTCGAAATATTTTTATAAATAATTTATATTTCCAAAGTGTATCTTTGAAATACCTAAGTGTATATAGGTTAAAGGGCTTTGCAAAACAAATTAAAAGGAAAATACTATATAACAAAGCTCTTTCGGTTAATATTAAAATATTTCGATAAATATTTGGGTATATACTTTTGAGTATATTTTTTATAGGATATAAGAGTATATGAAGTATGTATATATAGTATAATGAGTATATGAATGCTCTATATATATATGAATTCACCCAGGTGAAATAGGATTTATCATGATTAGCAGTAGTCTATTGAAAAATAACTTTAAATTTTAATGCCTACAAATGATGTTAAAAGAAGTCACGATCATCTCACATCGAAATAAACACAGTAGAGAAAGTTTCTGTAAGTTTTAATAAATTAGCATTATATGTGTAGTATATATTTTACCTAGTGATTCTTATTATGTATTTAAAAAAATGTTTAAAAAATAAATATTTTAATAAATTAATCCTTGTATGAGATTAAGGTGAAAAAACATAAGGCGTCCGAAATCGAGTTTCTTTTTTATTATTATTATTATGAGTCTCTCACCTTCTAGCTCTCTTGATCCTTAAAGTCATTCTACAGGAGATAAAATATAATAATAATAATAAAATACAGTAAACCGCCTATTAACCGTATTTTATTGCGATTTAGTGTATGTAGAGAGGTTTCAGGCCCAAAAACTAAACGTGTCATATAAATATATTTAAAGAAAAATAATTGAGAGAACGCTTGAGGTTTTCACATCAACAATTAGTAATTGTTTAATTATATTATATATTGTTTTTTTGGATAGCTATCGTCAAGGAACCACAATAATAGACCATGTTATGATTAGAATTGAATTATCGATAGACAGAATTATGCATATGTCGTGATCGAATGGAAGGGTGCAACCGTTATGCATGCAATCCCCAAGAATTAGTTCCATCAAAGTGAGCAGCGCACCCGCGACGTGCCGTAGCATTCGCCCGCGATGTCTGCCACGTTTACTTTTGTACAGTTTTTATAGATGGATGCATTTGCATATTTACATTTTAACACAAGCTTAACATCTTTACAGTTTAACATACTTATGTTGGCGAAAAGAAATTATACCTCTTGGATATTTTACAAATTATGACATATTATTTTAGAATTTGTTCATTAAATAATTTGAGGAATAACCTCACCCATACAGCTGTGTTAAGTTATTCAGCAATTGATGAAACAAGATGTCAATACTCACCACCTTGAGGGAAAAACTGGGCGAAGATTTCTTTGAAGGCGTCTTCGGTCACAACGCCCGTTGGACAGTCCTGGAAGTCATTCCAATATCTTCAATGAATGATATGCTAATATTTAAAACTTCTATTTAAAATCAATAAAATATATATTGGAGCTCTATAAGAATATACAATACCATATAAAATTTGTACAGAACGCCTGGTGCACGCGGTAGAAATAAACAATCTAAATTAGGAATATATAAATAGTGTGGCATCTCAGGCTCCTCAGCCTCAAGATGACATGGATGGTGAGGAAAAATATAAATAAGGAAGTTCCGCTGATAAATCCGGGGTGTAGAATAGTGTGAAATATATAAGTGATGTGAATATAAGAAAATGGAATTAAGAACAATAGACTGACGGTGTTTTGTAAACATATAATTAATCTTTACTAAATTTAAATGTGTGTGATAAATAAATAATTATAATTAAATAATAAATATATAAGTTGTAGTTTATAAAAGATAAACAACACAACATATTTGGCGACGAGGATTAAAAAAATAATAATAATAATTAAATAAGCGTAACAGAAGATGGCAAATAATTTGACGTCTCCATTACCGTTGAACCTTAATGCTACAGATTTGTATTCCGAGTACAAACATTGGATGAATTCATATTTAATTTATGAATTAGCAAGCGGTGTTTCAACAAAGAAAGATGACGTTAAAAGGGCAACACTTTTGCATTGCCTTGGACCACAAGTCCAAAGAATTTTCTTTAATTTGCCAGAAGAAAAAGATACGTATGAAAAAGCAAAAGAAGCTTTAACTATATATTTCACACCACAAAAAAATATTGTATCAGAACGATTTAAATTTAGGCAAAGAAAACAAAATACAGATGAAAATATTGATTCATATGTCATTGCCCTAAGAGAATTAGTCAAATCCTGTGAATTTGGAAATTTAGAAGAAGACATGATCAGAGATCAGATAATAGAAAAATGCTATAATAGGCAATTAAAAGAAAAGTTGTTGCAACAAGATAATTTGAATCTTCAAAGAACAATTGAGATATCAAGAATGTTTGAAACAGCCAAAGAAGAATTTAGAGTATTGACAAATGAAGATATGACCTCAATAAATAGAGTAAACTATAAAAATAATTTCCAAGCAGCTAATGAATCAACTGTTAAAGGACCAAAAGCTCATAATGTGTACCATCAAAAAGGAAGCACCTCCAAGGTAAGTGCACCTAATTTGGAAGAATGCTATAGATGTGGCTTAACTACACATCCTCCATATAAATGCGGAGCTAGAAATATGAAATGCACATTTTGTAACAAGATGGGTCATCTTAATAGAGTTTGTAGAAATAAAAATAAATATAAAAATATTGAAGGAAAGAAAAGAAATATTCAAAATATTTCAGAAAATAATGAAGACTCAGATGAATACACTTTCTTTTTAGGCTCTGATAACAAAGAAAGTATCTATATAGATGGAAAGGAAATAACAATGACTATTGATACAGGTAGTGATACAACATTCATAGGACTTGAAAATTTGAAAAATATTTTTCCTAAATCTCAAATGCCAACTTTAAATGGTACAGAAAGGAAATTTTATGCCTATGGACAAACTTCACCTCTTCCATGTTGTGGATATTTCTTTGCAGATGTTTCATGGGGTGAAAGGTCTATAAAGGAACAGATTTTTGTGATTGAAGGTAAAGCAGAACCTCTTTTAGGAAAGAAAGCAAGTTTCGAATTAGAAATTATAAAGCGTGGAACAAAAATAAGGAATATTCAAGAGGAAGTTATTCCGAAGGATATATATAATTTGATACAAGAAAACATGAACCTTTTTCAAGGTCAAGGAAATGTGAAGGGTTATAGTCAAAAAATAACTCTAAAAGAAAATGTTACTCCTGTAGCTCAGAGATGCAGACATTTTCCATATAAAATGGTAGAAGCCATCAATCAAGAGCTAGACAAAATGATAGAAGATGGCATTATTGAGGAAGTCCATGAAGCTTCTGAATGGATCTCAAACATTGTGGCAGTTCCAAAAAAGGGTACTGAAGAAATCAGACTATGTGTTGATCTGAGAGAAGTGAATAAAGCCATAGTTAGAGAGAGATATCCTATACCAACAGTTGACAATATATTGCAAGCATTATTGCTTTTTTCCAGGGAAATTAGAAATAAGCTCAATGATATAAATGACAATGATTCTCTTATGGATAAAGAAGTGATGGAGCATAATCAAGCCTATAAAGAAAGAATGAAGAAATATGCTGATAGCAAGAATAAGGCCTTGCCTCATGACTTCAAAAAAGGTAATATTGTTTATGTCGCAAACACTGAAATGAAAAGCAAGTTGACACCAAATTATGACAACCAAAGATTTATCATTTTAGAGACTATATCTCCAAATTCATTCAAGTTAGTCAATACTGAGACAGGTAGCTTTATCATTAGGAATGCAAAGCATTTAAGACATGCCAATGTCTTACAAGATTTTAACAAAGGAATTGATTTGAATACCACTTTGATTAAGACTCCAGAAATTAGAATGGAACTTCCTAGTACTTCAAGGTATCTACCAGAACAAGAAGCAACCTTAGAAGATATTGTACCAGAAGAGCAGATTGCTATATCTGATATGGACTGTTTATACCCAAATGAATCACCTAATGAGAATGAAAACAAGACTGTCATCACTAGAAGTGGAAGACAAATACATGTTCCTTCTAGATTTAAGGACATGATTAGATACTAACTAAACAAGGGAGGAATATGTAGAATAGTGTGAA